AGTTCTACAGACACACACGAGGCCGTTACGATGGTATCCACTCCACCATGACTGACTTTTGTACTTAAAAGCATCAAACATCTGGCAGACATGGTGCTGCCCATTCCTATTGGAGTGAAAAGTTGGGACAGATCCATTTTCTCCAGGTGTGGGGGAGGAAAAGCAGGGTGCTGAAAGTAGTTTCTACTATAATGCTAGCAAAAACTTGACTTATCTTTCAAAGTGGAGAAAGGTGGGATTTGTGGACTTCAGTCTTTGTTTTGTTTGAGAAACTAAGTCCAGAGTCTGATGCACTTCCATTTTTGATGGCTTTTTGCTTTAATACTATTTAGGGTCTGGAGGAATGTAAAGTCACCGAAGGTGCCAAATGAACACACTGCACAGAGGCGAATTTCATTCTCTGCTGCTTGTATTTCTAAAGGGCACCAGATCAATAATATCATGCTAGCTGCCTATCCAGGGAACTGTGTTCAGGTAAAAAACACCCACTTTTGGCACTTGCTAATATCTTATTTTCTTAATCAAACCTCGCCCCCGCCCCAAGAGGATAACCTCATGAAAATCAAACTGTCTGAGATGTAACTATAGTTCCATGTTTATAAACCCTGTGACCAGGTTCGTTTTTATGTCTGAATCTCAGTATCCCTACATGTAAAACAAAGATAATAACAAACACCACATGCGATTCCCCTAAAAAAGAGCTAAGTTATTAACATGCAATATGGTTAGAAATGCATATAACATAAGTAAATCAACAATAAATGTAACTGTTGAGCCAAGGAGAAATGTTTCCTATGAGTTTACTTTTAATTTGTTTCACCAATCAATAAGAAAGGCAGTTTCCCATCACTGTACTATTTACGTTCAGAAAAACTTTACCCAAAAAACTAAACTTGATTTTGAGACAGCAAAAGCGGTAACAGTTACTTCAATTGGTCCATGATAAGATCAGGGGCCGGACAAGCAGGGATTGAATTGTCTTCTAACTAAATGAAAAAGAATTCACTGAAGTTATAATTGACTCTCCTCCCCCTACCATTTTTGTCCTTCTTCAATTCTTTCTACTTTCACAGTCAGATTTCCTGTTACTTCCGTTTCTGGATCCCACAGGAAAACCTTTGTGATCACAGCACCTACTCATAAAAGACTTGACTAAAACAAAAGTACAATGATCATTTTTAATCAAGTACAGAAATCAGAGCTGAGTGCGTCTTAGTGTCCCTTCTTTCCATCATGCTGCCCTCTCGGCACGCTCACAAGAATCTGGCTGGCCCACGCACAACACTAGGGAAGTCAAACACAGGCAGTGATGGTGCTAAGGACCACGGCCAATGAATGCATAGAAGCGTGCTCAGAAAGTTCCCTGATCTTAGCCTCTGAAATTGCACCACCTCTTTACAAAAAGTGACAGAGACCCTGATGTCTACGCACCTGGGTTCAAATGTCAACTAAGGCCCTTGTGAGGTTGTGTGACCAGGGACTAGCTGATGAACCTCCCTGTTTCTTAATCTGGAAAATGGGGACACTAAATGGGCGGCTTGTTAGAGGGGTTAAATTTGCTTTGGTAGAAAAGCACTTATAATAGTACTTTGAACATCATCCTATATGATATATATATGTACATGTATGTACTTATAGGCATGAACACTTGCTATGCTATATATGTAGCATATAAAAACCAAACGCACTACCATCAAGTCAATGGTGACTCACGGTGACCCTGTAGGACAGGCAGAACTGCCCCTGTGAGTTTCCAAGACTATAATTCTTTACGTGAGTCAAAAGTCTCATCTTTCTCCGGAGGGGCGGTGGGTGGTTTCTAACTGCTAACCTTGTAGTCAGCAGCCCGACTTGTAACCATGACCTCGCCAGGGCTCCTTATAGAGTTACGTAAGCAAAATGAAAACAACTGCAACACATTTGCCATTTGCCTTATTTCCACCTGCAGAGATGAGGGCGGTCTCTAGAACTTCTCCCCGCACGTTTAAATAAAATGCATTTCCAGAAAGTGTCTTTAAAAATTGATGCTTGAATAATTGATCATCAGAAGCACTGCACTTGCATTGTTTCTTTGATATCTTGATGGTAAGAATCTGGATTTGAATTTGAGAGTATTTTAGAAATGCAAAAACTGCCTGCATTTTCTAGATATCCAAGAGGATCACAGTTAAAAAACTTAAGGCAATTTCCATTGAATTATTTTAGGAGCTAAATACTGAAATAACAAATATACTAACAATATGCAGTTACCATGAACACGGCATATGGAGCCCTAGTGGTATAGTGGTTATGCACTGGGCTACCATCTTCGTGACCACCAGCACCTCCTGGGGAGAAAGGGTGAACTTCCCACTCCTGTGAACAGTTACAGTCTTGGAAGCCCACAGGGGGTTACTATGAGTCAGCACGAACTCCCAGGCAGTGAGACAACATAAACCACCTGGTTTACAGGTAGAAAGTGTATTAAAACAAAAACAACAAAAAAACAGCATTGAGAAATATTTCAATCCCTGTTCATATACGTTAAGTAGTACAAAATATGACAAAAAGCTAAGTAGCTGAGTTTCATCCCGTTTCATTCATTTTTAATAATATTTGCATCAGGACTGCCTTGCCTAGAGGTACGAAAACATTTGATCAAGCCTTAAGCACTCTTTTCCTATACTACATTAATGCATTTTCTCACATAAATTCTAAATGCTCCTTAAATCTAAATGTGCCCAGGGCCCATTACAGACCTGTACTTAAAAGTAAGTTGAAATATTTCTAAGCCGTGAGATTTCAAATGCTTACCTAGAGATGAGACTCTTACAGGACAGGCATCTGGTTACAATCAGGTATGATATCCCAGAACACAAGCCTGGTCCTTGTAGCAATTCTGGTCCCTAAGTGTACTGTGGCCAACATTAAACCTGGCGACCTCTTTTTCTTTATTTCCCTGGTTCTTTGCCGCATAGATGATTTGTTCAGTATCTAATGAGTCCCAATAAGTCCCTGTCGTGAATTACCTGAACGATTGTATGGCTGCACTTGGGAAAGACTGAGAAGGGAAACTTAGTATTTGAAAATAGAGACTGGGTCTAAGAGATTGTATTAAGGAATACTTGTCAAGCCTTCCCACTTCCTTTGCTTTGGGAGAAGTCTCTCAAAGAGTGACAAGAAGGACAGGGCCCTAGCATATATCTGTGATGGATACATATGAGAAGGAATAAGTTGAAGTAAAAAGATAAAAAATCCTTTCAGCGGGCATCTCAGCTCTGTCAGCAAAGATCAACACAGGTTTGAGATTCAAATTACTGGTGAACAAACCTGTAAAAACTCCACTTTTGAAAGTAGAGAAAATTAGGGCGGGTTGGGGATGGGGTTAAGAATTAGGGGAAGTGACAGCTGATTTTCTTAACCAAGGTCGTTAAAAAATGACAATAATAACTCATGGGGACCCTACAGGGTTGAACTGTTTCTGAGGCCCTCACTTTTTACTGAAGTAAAAAGCTTACCCTTTCTCTCACTGAGTTTCAAACTGCTGACTTTGCGGTTAGCTGCCCAACTGGAAATCGCTACCGCCACCAGGGATTCTTGGGAAAGTTTTACTGGGTTTTGAAAGGGCAGTATCAATGACCAAAAGACTATGGCCCATTAGTCTTCTATCAAATACTGGCCTCCTTTCTTGATTTCTTCCCTTGTTTGTTCTCACCACCGCACTCTAAGATCTTGCAACCAGGGCTCCATGTTGGCTTGGTTGTACAAGCAGTCGCTAGGGGTCAGAAATGACTCTAAGACGCCGAAAAACAAAGATCTTGTTTATTTCCTACGTTTTCTTTTCTTTTTTTTTTCATTCTTGCTGACAAATGCCACGGGGAACAAATGTGGCGTCTACACAACTACACACGCTGGTACAAGTCGACACCCCCAGGAACTTTCTCTGATTTAGCAACGATCTGGAAGTCCAGAAACAAGCTATCAGAAAACAACCAGATCTGAAAGCCCAGGATGTTGCTTCCAGTCTGGTACCACCCATGCTAGTGGGAAGTTTCCCGGAGACCAGCCCGGCCAGGCTGGGGCCCGGGCCCATTCCCGAGCAGCCCTGGCAGGAGGCGCTGCGGGCCAGTCCCCGGGGACCGCGCGCGGCCCGCGCCCGAACTCCCTCCTCCGCGCGCGCGGCCCCGCCCCGCAGCTCCGAGGGCTCCACCGCCCGCCGGGGTTACTCCCGGTCATCCCTCCGCAGTCTTGCCCCAGCTTCCCGGTGCGTGCCCGCCGGCCTGAGATTGCTTCCAGAGACGTGCAGAAAGGGGCGAGGGAAGGGGCTCCCCAGTGCCCGCAGGTCCCCAAGGAGCAAACCCTGGATGCGCTGGGGACCTGGGCTCGCGGGCGCGGAGCGGGACGGTAGGCAGGCTTCCGGGACACAAACAAAGCCCCCGGCAAGTCCCAAGCCAGAAGACGCTCAAGGGACCCAGTTTGGGGCTACCCGAGTTCCTAGGGAACAAGGGGGTGCTGATACGGTCCGGGGGCGCACCCCCCAAGTCGGCACCCAACTCAGACCCGTTTAGCTAGGATGGAGGGGACCAGGCGCAGGCACTTGTCCCGGGGGCGCGGGCTGACCCAGAGAGGTTTCTAGTCTGCTCCGGGGCTCCCGAACAAAGGGAGGTGCTTCTTGCCAGACTGTCCCTCTCGCCGACCGACCGACCGGGCGGGCGGCCCAGCAGCAGCACGTCCTGCAGCGGCGGACCCCGCTGCGCCCCAGGTTCTGCGCCCCAACTCTCCACGCTGAAGATGCTCCCCAAGCTCCCGGGCGGGCTGAACGAGCCTCCAGCTCAGCAGCGTCGCGCCCCAGGGTCTCCACAGCCCCCACCCCACCCAGGACGTCTCCTCCCCACTTCAGCCGCCCTCACTCCATTTTCTTTGCAATAAATGGGGACCAGAGAGTCCTGACCCAAGCACCCGAAACCGAGAGCTTCCTGGGTCCCTACTGAAAACAATAGCGCCCCGAGAGTGCCTCTTACCTGTGCTCTACTTTAGGGTCTGCGTCTCCTGCCCCCACTCTTTCACAAGCTCGTTTGAGGAGGGGGCGTGCAGGAGGGGGGGCGGCGCAACCAAGAAGAAAAGGAGCTGAAGGCCCCCAGAAAGTGGCTCCAGCGGCGCTGGCCCCGCTGCGCCCCTGCCCTGTCCAGTCAGCTGGGCAGAAGGGTGTCTGTCTGCTCGGCCCTGACAGTCCGGGCCCCACTCACTCTCCCTCGGAATTACGAGTTTTTGGTCGGGACTAGTTCCTTTTATAGATTCGGCTGTGCTGAACGCCGGGGTTACTAGCGGTCAAAGCCTGTTCTCTCCCTCCTCCCCGCCCGCCGCCCCGGCTTCTGTTTACGTAGTTCAATCACTCAGCAGAAAGCACGTGGAGCCGGGGTCCGCCCCTTAAATGGGCGACGTCCCGCAGCTGCAGGCCGGGTTGGGGACTGGGTGTCGGGTGCTAGCCTAGGAGAAGCAGCTAAGCCTGACTTGGGGCTGCTCCAGTGGAGCTCCAGTCCACATTCCGGCCAGCACGTGGCTGGTCCTCTAAACTTGCACACTCTGCGATTTCTTTTCCTTCTTCTTTTCTTTTGTGAGTGTACTCAGTCCTAGGAGTTGAAGGAGAGCGAGCTGGAGGCAGAAATCCCTCTGGAAGCCAACTTGTTAGTCTTGATAATGGCCCCTGTAGCAGGCTGGTTTCCTATTGCACCGCCAAAGCTGTCATGGGTGCTCAGTAGCCGACCTACTTGCCTTTGAGATGCTCAGCCTGGACACCCAGATCACCCAGGTCCCTAGAGAGAACCAATGAAAAACCACTTGCTCCTTTTTTTGGGGGGCGGGGGGCTGTATTGGAGGGGAGAACGGGAACCAAAGAAAAAGAAACCGTGTGGACCAGGCCCTTTTTTCTTTTCATGACCTTAGTCAGGATCTCTAACATAAACACAGAGGGCTTGTCTAGATTTGCAAAGTGCAGCTGGACAATCAGTCCTGTAAAAATATACAAGCACTCTAGTTCCCCGATTTCTCTCTTGGACTAATGCAGTAGAGCAAGAAGGCTTAAAACGTGTGAGAGGAAGAGAGGTGAGAGTACATACAGAAGCCCACATATTAAATATTGAAATCATAAGCCAAGCCAACAAACCATAAAGTGTCTTCCAATTTAGACAAAGCTGCCTTTGTGCAGCGTGAAGTGGCTGGTTCCCATTCAGACGCCTCGCAGTTTGGGCCCAGTTGGGGTAACAGTGTGGTGGCATTGGAATGCTGGCCCTTGCCTGATTTACCCTTGCTCTTCCCCCCATCATCAAACCCAGACAACCTCCACTGCCAGCACGTGGGCACACCAGCGTCCACAGTCTATGGGTTGCAACTGAAACCCAGAGGTACACACTTCAGTGATTCTTTTAACATTCACGACAGCATCAGAATTCTGGCCCTAGAAGTTTCCACATCAAGTCGATTCAAAGACGAGCAACCCTATGTTGAGCTTCTGAGACTAAATTGTCAAGGGAGCAGGTCTTATCTTTTTTCCCAGGGAGCAGCTGGTGTGTTTAAACTGCTGACTTTGAAGTGGGCAGTCCAACGCTACCAGGGCTCTTCCTGAGGATTTAGGGCAAGGAATTAGGAGCCCTCATCAAGAGAGACCAGTCTCTGGAAAAGGGCATCATGCTAAATATCATAGTGAAGTAAAGGGGTGATAAAAGAAACCCATTAAAGAGCCTCAATGAGATGGAATGACGCAGTGGCTTCAGCAATGGGCTCAAGCATAAAAACAATTGTGAGACCAGGCCAACAATTCATGGGGTGCGGCTCCCAGTGGAACTGCACTCCCACAGACTCTTCCCACGGGCAGTGTCTGCAGCTCTGTGTTATTGGAAAAATTGTTGAGGTTATCAATGCAATCATCTTATACCCCCGGGGGCTGATTGACAATGTTTTTTCCTTTTTTGTCTCCTTGGGTTTTTGCTTTGCTGCCTTTTGTTTTTGTTTTTCATTTGTTTGCTGGCTGGTTTGTTGCTGTTGTTGGTGGTTGTATGGGGTTCGTTTTTGTCATAATACAACCACCAAAGTAAACCAGAGTAGTGCATAACCCGTGGACAAGCAGCTGGATTCTAGGCCACCACTTAATTCTAGCCCCAATCCAAGAAGAGTTAGTTCTGATAACAGGGCCCTGTTCAATACTTGCCTTCATGAAAAAAATCAGTGAAGATAAGGGTGCTACAGCAAAGTGTGGTGAAGAAAGCAGATGGTGCCCGGCTATCAGTTGGAATAGTGTCTGGGGTCATAAAGGGTTGTATTCCTCTAGGTGAGGAGTCAACTAAATTCACATGAAAGAAGCACACCAGCTTGTATGACCCAAAAGATGACAATAACAAAATCCAAATATGATGAAGGGAAAAGTATCAGAGCTTAAATTGTGAACCCCCAAATTGTAGAAGGCTATGGAGGACAGTGGGATACCAAAACCCATCTGCAGAGTATCTAGTCAGATTAAACCTCTGGCAAATCCCCTCTAGCCATAGGCAAGGGAATCAAACAGCTTTACTATCATACAGAGATCCTTGTAAATTTGATTATGCTAGATCGAACTTGATACTTGGTCAGTGGACCTCCATTTTGACCCAACCTGAATTTGTTCTAGGCTCAAGCATTGCTTGCTTGTTCCAAGACAAAAATGTCTTTCCTGGCTGCTTAAATATTGATGGTGGTCTTTTCTTTCTTACTCATTATTTGTATTTTTAAGTTTATATTATTATTATTTTACCCTGGCCATTTTATTTTTTGTTTTTATTGTTTCTGTTTGGTTTCCCACTGTGTGAAGCACAGAAGGAGTAGATGCATGGAAATAACAGATGCAATGGTTTATTGGGGGGTGGGGTGGGGAGATAGGGAGGGTGAGGGGATTTGGGGAGCAAAACAACGAATGGAGAAGCAGGTAGGGAGCACTAGAACTGATTGTTATTGTGTATACATACAACTCATTTTAAACGTGATTTAACCATGAAAGTGTATGATATATGAATATTATATCAAGAAAACCATGGGGGGGGGACCAAACTTGAGCAATGGTTATCATAAGTGAAGGGGAAAGAGTGGTTGCATAGTGAGTATTTAGTTTATGTCAATAGTGGTAGAATAGTTTGGAAAAGGATATCGATAATGATTGTACAACACAAAGAGTATAATCAATGGCACGGAATTATACAAGATGTGGAACTGGAGAATGTTCTGGTGTGCATAGTTTTGCCACAGTTAGAAAAAAATAGTTACTTGAATGACAATGACTACAAAGAAGAAGAAAATGTTCTAGAATTGCATAGGGTGACAATTGCACAAGTCTTCTTAATATGATTGAATTGTATTGTATGACATGTGGGTGAAGTGCTCATAAAACTGCTTAAATAAAACCATTGTGAGGATGGTGCAGACTAGGTGGCGTTTCGTGCTATTGTACGTAGGGTCACCGTGAGTGGAACCAATTCAACAGACGGTACCTACCAAGCATAAGAAAACACGCTTTTTAAAACAAATAGCCTGAGCAATTTGAGGTACCTTTGATTTTTTAAAAACAACTTCACTGTCCTGCACCATTCTCTTAATCGTTCGTTCGTAAGCTTGAGCCCATAATTGCAGCCGCTGTGTCAGTCCCTCCCATCCAGGGCCCTCCTCTTCTTCATCGCCCTCCACTTTACCAAGCACGAGCTCCTCTTCAGGGACTGGTCTCTCCTGACAACGTGTCCAAATATGTAAGACGAAGTCTCGGCTGTCCTTGCCACACATGGGCAATAGACACTCTGGCCGTACTTCTTCCAGACAGATCCGTTTGTCCCTTTGGCAGTCCGTGGTACTTTTCATATTCTCCACCACAATTCAGTTCTTCCAACGTCCAACTTTCACCTGCCTATGAGGTCATTGAAAATGCCCTGAATTGGATCAGGCACCCCTTAGTCTTCAAAGTAACACCCTTGCTTTGCAACACTCAAAAGAGGTCTTGTTCAGTAGATTTAATTGAGTGAGGCGTCTTCAACTCATCATCTGGACACAGAACCTGAGGAAAGGGAAGCAGCGCCCGATGAGACCTCCACAGCTCGCAACCCTCAGAAGCCTGATGCTAACTTGTGCAGAAAGCCACGTGACTTTTAGAGTGTAAAATAAGGCCACGTGGTCCTTCAGTTATGGTAATAAGTGGAAGTACACATAGCGTGTCTAGCCCACCTACGTAGACCCATGTGGTCAGGAGGGGCCTTTCCCCCTCCTGTTTTAGTCCTTCTCCCACAGCACAGAGTGGGAAGCTCCTGGAAAAACTGTCATCTCCACCTAGACAGCCTTCCAAGTTGGAGAGTGAATTTGTCCCCGTGCTTCTCATTTTAAAGCAGTAAAAGTTATTTCTATGCGCGAACACTCTGGGAGCATCTAGTGTTCAGACTTCAGATAGTTAAGGTTTATTGTGCCAACCTGGCCTATAAACACATGTGGGATTAACTGAAGGGCAGAGAGATAAATGGCTCAGTGAACCTTGCCTTTGTAGTTCTTGGGTCTCTTGCTCTCTGATGGTTGAACCAGGGTGAAGCTGCCTTAGCCAGTTCCCTGCTTCAGCTGGTAAGGCTCACTTCCTGCAAGACATCCCCAAGGAGAAGCCACATGGACCTACCCTGGTGCAGCTCTGGGTGCTGGAGCAGTGGTGTGGAGATCCCTGCCAGCGCTGAGATGCTTACGCATTCACTGATTTGGCTTTCCTGCTGCAGTCAGCATAATTGCATCTGTTTTGTGAGATGGAGGAGGACTTTGTGGACTGGTGTCAGACATATGGGCTAATGTTGGACTTATGGGCTTGGACAGCACGGGGTTGGGAAGCTTTCTTAAGATACACTTACCTTTTATATAAAACTCTCTCTTATATACATATGTTTCTGTGGATTTGTTTCTCTAGTCTACCCAGACTAACACAAGACTGTAATTGTAAGAATGTGGCATTTATAGAACAATCCTATTTCGCGATTGGTCCCTTTTCCCATGGCTTCCGCATCCACTGCCATCAAGTCAACTTTGACTCCTCATGAACCGGTAGGTCAGGGTAGAACTACCTTTGTGGGTTTCTGAGACTGTAACCATTTAAGGTAGTCGAAAGCCTCACCTTTCTTCCTCAGAGCAACTGGTGGTTTGGAACTGCTGACCCTGTGGTTAACAGCCCAACTGGCTATTTTGAGATCAAAGACAACTTGTGAGTACTTCCCAGTTTGGA